AGGGGCTGCACCTAGGGATTGGGCGTGCCCTCTGCCACCCGGGAGCAGGCCTAAGCCAGCAGGCCGTTATCTCCCGAGGGGTCCCAGACTGCGAGAGGGCACAGGCCGGGCTGAGGGACCCCCCCCTTCCCCCCCCAAGTGCACAAATTTTTGTGCACCGGGCCTCTAGTCTATATATATAAAAGCCTAAGTGACCTTTACGACTAAATAACTGGAACAACCAGTCGACCAGTCGATATGACGCTCCCTCCTGGCCGCCTGCCGCTTGGCGCACTGCTACATCTCCCCTGAGGGGTCCCGGATTGTGAGAGGGCCCAGGCCATGCTGAGAGGAATGCCCCCCCCCCCGTGCACGAAGCCATGTACCGGGCCTCTAGGTATGAATAAAGCTGCCTGGAATGCTGTGTGTGAGTTCAGAGCAGCCCCCCTCTTTGTGGTTGGGGGTACATTGGGTGCTGTGGACCAGTCCACATGGACAGAATGAGGTCCGATCTTTGGTGTCTTGCACATTTTTGTCCGAGGATAGGGCTTTTCTCTAAGGGGGACAGCTGTTGAAGGTTTTGAGCTGGAAGGATGTGTGTGACAGATCTCCCAGGGGGAGCATGATTGGGCAGGATGAGTTGGAGGCCAGGAGGATGGAACTGACCAGGACCCTGGGGGAGTCTGCAGTAGACTGGGTGAGTGGCATGAGACTTCTCTGGGCAGGTGGACATTGGGTCAGGTATGTGGGGGATACTGGGGCCAGAGATTCTCTCACAAGTGACATGTGCTGACAAGATGTGGCAGTGGCTGGTTGGACAGGAGACAGGGCAGCTCAAAATGAAGGCCGCAGCCAGAGCATCTGAAACAGGTTACTTTGGCTGGCACTGTGTGGCCCAGAGTCTGTCCCTCCCTCCCCCCGGGCATATCAGTGGCTGAGCACCTCTCAGGCCAGCTGGGCCTGGCCGGTTCCAGGGCAGAGGGCCCTGCTGGCTCCTGCCCCCATGCCACTGCTCCTGGCTTTGAGGCTTACACTCAGAGCTGGCACTGGCGTCTCCTCACTCAGTCTCTGTTGGCTCAGATCACTGGTGATATGCAACACATGTTGCCCTCTTCAGCGGACCTTCCATCTCTGCAGCTGCCACTTCCACACCGTCCTTTTTCTGTTTTTACTTGAAAAGTGATGGCCACACTGACCATTCCACATCCTAGGTCACATTACCCTTGGGGTATCTCTTGCTTTTCCTCCCAGTTTTACTGAGACACAGTTCATATGTAACATGTAAGTTTAAGGTGTACAACATGATGATTTGAAGGAGGTATGTATTGTGAAACGATTGCCACAATTAGGTGAGTGAACAGCTCCAGTACCTCATGTACTTGTGCTTTTTGTGTGCTTTTGCCTCTTCTGGAGGTGATCACGGCTGCTGTCTCTGCAGCATGGGGGAGCTTGCAGACTGGATGACCACGGGATTTGGATGACCTTGGCCACACATCTCATCCAGGACCCCTGATGTCTCCAGGGGCTGGCAGCTTCTCGCCAGTCGTGAGGTGGCATTCAGGGCCCCTCCACAGACACGCCCCTCGCATCTCCCCTCCTCTCCTGGGGCCCAAGCAGTGTCACATGCTGATTGACATGGACTGCATGTGTGTATGTATGTGTGTGTATGACTGACACACACACACACACACACACACACACACACACACACACCCAGTGTGCCTGTACTACCTCTGGAGAGCTCTCTATGGGGGCTCTCGTTGTCATTTTTGCCTCCATTTTTAAAAAGCCAGTGTGAGGCCAGTTCCTTTCTCATATGAGCAGTGATCTGGTTTTCAGACTCTTCACTTATCCTCATGTGAAAGCCGAGGCTACTGTTCCTTCTGTAGTTGAGGTGTTGGCAGCATGAGGGGCCTTGTGGACTAAGTGTGGGACCTGCCCAGCTCGGCTTCAGGCTGACCTGTGGGGCTGCATCTGGGTGTTTGGCTTTAATTCTTGCACCTATTTGACTGTTTCCAGTGAGAGAGCCTTTCAGACAGACCAGCAAGGCAGTTACCTTTGTGTAATAGCATTTTGTCAAGAATGGGACTAATCCCATCCCTACAATACACTGGGTGGTAACTAGGGGCATCTGTGGTTGTCACGACTGGGGGTGCTCCTGGCATTGAGTGGGTGGGGGCCAGGGATGCTGCTTAACACCCTACAGTGCCCAGGATGAGCTTCCCCTCACAGAGAATGACCTGTCAATAATACCAAGAGGGGACCCTGGCCAAGAGGAAAATGTATTAGAAATCACATTCCTAACACACCACTTGCCCCTCCCTGCAGTGTGTGGTGAGGGAGGGGCAGTGAGGATCCATCTGGGACATGGGGTCACATGCACAGACCCACACCCCCTCCTGCCTCTGGAACTCAGGTGGGTTTGGGGCAAGTGAGCTTTTGGCCTCTTGTACATTTTGTGGCCTAGGTGATTGAGGTAGGATGGTAGGGGATGGTATGGGGGTCATTACTACTTGATGACAGAACCAAAGTCATATTTATTCCATAAAGGTCCTGAGGTGGTTGATAAAAGTACCAGAGCCCTAGCTGGTTTGGCTCAGTGGATAGAGCGTCGGCCTGTGGACTGAAGGGTCCCAGGTTCGATTCCGGTCAAGGGCACATGCCCGGGTTGTGGGCTCGGTACCAGTAGGGGGCATGCAGGAGGCAGTCGATCAATGATTCTCATCATTGATGTTTCTCTCCTTCTTCCTTCCTCTCTGAAATCAATAAAAATCTATTTTTTTAAAAAAGTACTAGAAAGGCAGCTATAGCCAAGGTCCCTGCTTTGTGATGTGTCTCACTTGTGACTCAGGTCTCCCTGAGTGAGCTCAAGCGCCTGTGGTCAGTTACTCGGATGCTGATTAAAGACCTCCTGGCTGCTGGGCAGTGATTACTGGGGGGCCCAGGGAATCGTCTCTTCTCCAGGAGCTCCCTGTCACAGAGGCCGGTGACAGACTCCTGCAGAGAGACTCCCCACACAGGCAGTGGTAACGGTTCCCTGTGTCCAGAGAGGGGAACTGCTGCCTGGGGCTCAGGGTTTTCTGGGCACAGGCCCCGTCACAGGTGGCTGTGAGCAGATGGCACCATGGACAGAGGCATAACTCTGGCAAACACCTGGAGCTGGGTAGACGCAGGTCAACTCACAGAGAGTGCTGAAGATGAGCCTAGTTCATTGATGGTGAACCTTTTGAGCTTGGCGTGTCAGCATTTGAAAAACCCTAACTTAACTCTGGTGCCGTGTCACATGTAGAAATTTTTTGATATTTGCAACCATAGTAAAACAAAGATTTATATTTTTGATATTTATTTTATATATTTAAATGCCATTTAACAAAGAAAAATCAACCAAAAAAATGAGTTTGCATGTCACCTCTGACACGCGTGTCATAGGTTCGCCATCACTGGCCTAGAGGGATGGGTTTGGCAAGTTTGGGATATTCTGAGTCCCCAAAAGGGGGTTCAGGGGTTCAGTCTGTGAAAGGGAACCTGTGTTGTGTTATTGAGGGCCTGAGACAGTGCATTCGTAGAATTTAGAAGTTCTCTCTTGCTGTATACTAAAATCACCCCTGGCCTAGCTGGTTTGGCTCAGTGGATAGAGTGTCAGCCTGCGGACTGAAGGGTCCCGGGTTCTATTCCAGTCAAGGCATAGGGCAGGGTTGCAGGCTTGATCCCCAGTGGAGGGCATGCAGGAGGCAGCTGATCAATGATTCTCTCTCATCATTGATGTTTCTGTCTCTCTCTCCCTCTCCCTTCTTTTCTGAAATCAATAAAAAATATATTAAAATAAATAAAATCACCCCAAAACTTAGTAGCTGAAAACCACAAACACTTGTTATCTCTGAAGATTCTGAGGGTTCTAGCTGAGAGTCTCTCATGAGTAAAGCGATCAGCAGGGGCTGGAGGAATTCCTTCCAGGGTGGCTTCCTCGTGTGGGTGTTGGTGGGAGGCCACTGCAGTTGCTGTCCCTGTGTGTGTGTATGTGGGGGTGCACGAAAGTGGGCTGACCAGGGCCGTGAGAGGCTGGAGCAGGAAGAGGGACCAGGGGCTGCACTGGTGCTGGAGTGGGGCTGGAGGGATGGGAGGCACAGAGGACTCCTGGTTGAATGGCATGTATTGAGACCAGGGCCTCATCTTGAGGCTGAGGTAAGGACACAGCCACCTGAGTGGCCCCTTCTTGATGGTTTTCCTGACTTTATGATTCGTCGAGGCAGCAGAGCCTCAGTGTGCCCCTCTCTGAGGTTGGGGGTCAGAGCACTCACCCTAGAAAAGCCCAGGAAGATGGTTGTATCCCCTCATGCTGATTGAGGAAGAAATGAGACACAAAGGGGTTCGGTGATGCGCCCATCAGCATGGTTTCCGGAATAGAGATAAGAGTGGATGTGGTGGTGGGAAGGCAGAGAGGTGACACCCAGGCCTCTGGGTGGACATGGGACACAGTGCTGTGGTCACCTGGGGTAGAGCCTTCAGGATGGCTTGATATTGGTTGGGTTACAAGTTTGGAGCTAATCAGAAAGGAGCTTCTTGAGGTGAGGATCCTGAGTCCTGCGACTCGATTTGGTCCTCACCGCTGTGGCCTTAGATGCAGATACCAAACTCCTGCTCTCAAGGAGAGTGTTCTGGAAGGACTCATTAAAGACGAGTGGTGGGAGGTCGACAGACATTGTCAGATTAGACAGGGACCCAGGGTGGGCTTGGGAAAGGGCTGCGTGAACTCCAAGGGAGAGGTCACTCAGCCTGACTCGGTAAGGAGGTGGCAGCCTCTGGTGGACAGACACGTAACTTCTATGGGCCTCCGAACCCTCATATGCAGCCTGTTAAACTGGCGCTCTGCTGACTGGTGCCCAGTGAGGTGGCCACTCACCTGTCACTGTGACCTGGCAGGACACTTGGGAGGATGGGCCTGCCTGCTGTGTGCCTGGGGGCTAAACACCCTGCATATGTCATGCTTCCCTTTTCCGTACCTCAGTTTCCTCTTGTGGGAGGATGACCAAGGCACATCTCAGGGATGTGCTTCAAAGAGTGGCCGCCTGTTGGTCAAGTGTGTCCCATGTCTCCTCTGAAGATCGGTGAGCCACTTGGAGCCAGAAGCATGTGTCCCAGAGACTCTGCTACTGGTGTGCTGAGGGAGGGAACACAGGGACATGGCGAGTGTGCGAGCTGTTAGCATGTGGGTCTTGATCCCTGTTCTGTCTCACTGGGCTATGTTGCACGTTACAGGCACAGGTGAGAGTGGGAAGAGCACATTCATTAAGCAGATGCGCATCATCCACGGGGCTGGCTACTCGGAGGAGGATAAACGGGGCTTCACTAAGCTGGTCTACCAGAACATCTTCACTGCCATGCAGGCCATGATCCGGGCCATGGAGACTCTGAAGATCCTGTACAAGTACGAGCAAAACAAGGTGAGGCCATAGCCTGTGGGGAGGTGCCACCTGGGCAGCACATGGGCTGAAGGGGATGTGGGGCCACAGCTGAGCCCACACATACTGGAGGAGCCCCAAGTTCTCCTGTCAGGCAGCTGTACCTGCCCCCACTCTAATGGACTGGGGAGCCAGCGACAGGTTCGCCGCCCTGGCGTGAGCTGTGCGAGCTCCTGGGTTCTAGTCCCTCAGAGGACGCCTTGTCCTACCAGGCGCTTTACACACCACATTTGGCCGTCTTGGTGAACCATGGAGGGGGCACTACCCTCTTGTGTTTTTTTTGTTTGTTTGTTGTGTGTGTGTGTGTGTGTGTGTTTTGTTTTGTTTTAGTAACAGCTCTGTTGAGATGGAATTCACATACCACAAAAGTCACCCATTTAAAGTGTGCAACTCGTTTTTAACATTTGCAGAGAATCATGTACCCTTACCTTTATTTAATTCCAAAACATTTGCATCTTCCCAAAAAGATGCCCTGGCCGGTGGCTCAGTTGGTTGGTACGTCGTCCTGTACACCAAAAGGTTGTGGGTTCAATCCTCAGTCAGCGCACATACCTAGGTTGTGGGTTCAATCCCTAGTCAAAGCGCGTACGAGAGGCAGCCAGTAGATGTTTCTCTCTCACCTCAGTGTTTCTCACTCTCCCTCTCTCTCTAAAATGAATAAACATATCCTTGGGTCAGGATTTTAAAAAGAAAGATACTCTGTCCCCATTAGCAGTCACTCTCCATGTCCCTCCCCAGCCTCTGGCGACCATGAACCCACTTCCCATCTCTGTGGATGTGCCTGTTCTGGGCATTTCACATAAATGGAATCACACAGTGAGGCCTTTTGTGTCTGACTTATCTCTCTGAGCATTGTTTTCAAGGTTCATCCACATTGTAGTGAGTGTCAGTGCTTTCTCCTTTTCATGGCAGAATAATAATCCAGTGCATGGATGGGCCACATCCGCCCTTTGATGGACATTTGGTGGTTCTCACTTTTTGGTGCTGTGACATCTGTGAACAAGTTTTATTCGCACACCTTTTCTCATCTCTCCTGGGCCTGTACTTGGTGACACCTGCTCTCCCCAGTGGCTGCCCTGCCAGCTGTGCGCCCATGGCTCTCACTGGTGGCCTCTTCGCCTTTGCTTTCATAGATCTGTTTGCGGAGACTTCTCACATGCCCAGAAGTTCTCCTTGGGCTAATGCATGGCATGGAGTCCATATCTGTCAAAATATGGCTTAAATGAATTAATTTACTTTTAGGCTTAAGAATGCCAGTCAGCCAGATTTCTAATATGTCTCTGATAGGTGTGTTCTTACCTTTACCCCAATTCACAGGTTTTTAGGGACCCCTACCAACCCCACCATCCTGGCTGTGGGGCCACACGTGGGGTCAGCATGAGCCTCTGGCCCATTGGGTCTCGGTTTGTAGGATCTCTTCCAGCTAAGGCCCAGTTCAGAGTCCAGTTCACACTTGGACCATAGATGACCATCAGCATCTAGGACAGAACTGGGCAAACTGCAGCCTGTTTCTATAAATACAGCTTGATTGGCACATGCCTCCCCCGCCTGCAAAAGCCCCCTCCTACATAAGGGGACATGGCCCGGCAGGCCCTGCTCCAAAGTGCCCCAGTCTTGGGTTTGCTTTGAGACCTGGCACTGAGGGATACTCGCAGCCGGTCATCCTTGTTGTTTCTCCCTCGTGTTTACACAAAACTAGAGTTTATGGTTCTGACTCTGGTTGGCTGGTGCGGAGTGTGGCCACATCCTGGGACGAGGGATGCACCCCTTGTGTCCAGGCCGTTGGCAAGCCCATGGCCTTTCCTCCTCCTGCCCTCACAGGCCAATGCGCTCCTGATCCGGGAAGTGGACGTGGAAAAGGTGACGACATTTGAGCACCGGTACGTCAACGCCATCAAGACCCTGTGGAATGACCCTGGCATCCAGGAGTGCTATGACCGGAGGCGGGAGTACCAGCTCTCCGACTCCGCCAAATAGTGAGTGAGGCGCTGCCCGCCTGCCCCGCCAGAGAATGATCTGAAGGTCACGTGGGTCCTAGTCAGGGTCCTGGGAAAGAGAAAGGACCTTAGGGGAAACTGAAGCAACCTGGAAAAAGGGTGGACTCAGTTAATGACACTGAATATTGACTGGTTAGTTGTGACAAATGCACTAAATTAATTGAAGATGTTCGTGGTAGGGACGGTGGGTGTGTGCTGGGAATTTCTGTTGTGTCTCTACAACTTTCCTGTGGCTCTGAAATGACCCTAAAATAGTAAATTCATTTCTGAAAAGTCCCCGTCCAGCCGGGCAGCCTCTCTTGGAAACCCTGGCGCTAGTTCTCTAGAGCGGCATCCTGGGCAGCTCTGTTAGAGTCCCTCCCAAGTCTTTCCCTGATCAGCATCATTATGTCCCATGAGACCCAGAGAATGACCTGCCCCTTCCTGTCCAGGTTGGGGGTGGGGAGGCCTTGTTCCATCTTTTCCCGAGTATTCCTGGCTGTTTCAGGTGAGACCCCTGCAGGCCCCTCCTGGTTGCTTGGGATGTCCCCTCCCCTTGCAGCCAGGCCTGAGCAGCCCTATCCCTGCTCTGTTGCAGCTACCTGACCGATGTGGACCGCATTGCCACCTCGGGCTACCTGCCCACCCAGCAGGACGTGCTGCGGGTCCGTGTGCCCACCACCGGCATCATCGAGTACCCTTTTGACCTGGAGAACATCATCTTCAGGTGCCTGTGCCCTGGTTTCCTGGGAGTGGTGGCCTTCTGGGGAAGCCTGGGGCTCTGCAGGCTGCTGTGAGGGCTGTTCGTTCCCAGACCCAGAGCCCCTGTTGTGGGGGCAGCAAAGATCCTGGTCTTTGCCCTCAGGGAGCTTCTGATCCAGGATGGGAGATAAGATTTATGAATAAGTAACTATCTCCAGTTTCAGAGTGAGCCAGGCCCCAGTGACTGTTGCGGCTGGCCAGAGGTGGCCTCGGGGAGACGGCCTGTTGGTGGGGCCTTTGCAGTGGAGTGTGTGTGAGAGAGGGTGCTGACTTGTGCAGGAGTGGGTGGGTGGTCTGGAGTTCCTACCAGAGCAGGGGTGCTGTGGAGCAATTGAGGGTTCCTGCAGGCCCCTTGTCCAGCTGTGCCCTCATCCAGCTACACTGTTGTCTGGTTGTGTGATCAAGAAGGCAGGCCAGGGGCCTTGGCACCAAGCTTATGGTCTGGCACTGATCGGAGCTCAGGTGTCATCGAAAGATGGCCTAATTGGCCTGATGTGTGAGATGGGCCTGGCCCCAAAGGGCGGACCTCGTGTTGAGACCTGGCCCCCGGGGGCCCTGGTTTTAGCCCAGCTGCACTGGGGAGGCTCATGCCCCAGAAAGGCTGTGACCCCAAACACTTTGTCCCTGATGGCATTCCCCAGACTGGCTGCAGCTGCCATCATGTGCCTGGCATCCGAACCAGGGCTCTTGGCCTGTCACCACCCTCCTGCTCTTCATAGTCACCCTGGCATGTCCGCCGTCCACCTGTGCTTGTTGGAGTCTCCTCTGTGAAATCCCCACCAGGTGGATTTGCCTCTGCTAGCCATGGTGGCAGCCTGCGTCTCAGCCCGTCCCTGGGGCCATTTCTGTCTGAGCCCTGCCTTCCACACAGCAGTGTGTGTCTGTAGGAGGCGGCAGCTGTAGGAACACCTTTCTTCTCCAGTTCAGGTTGGGGGCTTGGGAGCTGCTTTCCCTTATGGCCTTTGTCTTCCTTTTTAAAAATAGAGTCTTTTCCTATTATAAAAACATAGGGACCCTGGCCAGTGTGGCTCCGTTGTTTGGGCATTGTCTGTGCACCAAAAAGTTGCTGGTTCAGTCAGGGCACATGCCTGGGTTGTGGGCTCAATCCCTGGTAGTGGGCGTGCAGAAGGCAGGTGATCGATGTTTCACTCTCCCTTCCTCTCTCTCTAAATATCAATTGTAAGAAATCTTTAAAAACCTGGGGAGTTCATCCCTGGCTGGTATGCTCAGTGGGTAAAGTGTTGGCTCGTGCACTGGAGGGTTATGGGTTCAGTTCCCGGTCAAGAGCATGTACCTGAGTTGCAGGTTCCATCTTCGACCCCAGTTGGGGCTTGTGCAGGAGGCAACCCATCAATGTCTCTCTCTCACTGATGTATCTCTTTCTCTCTTTCCCTCTTTCCCTCTCTTCCTCCCTTCCACTCTTTCTAAAAATCAATGGAAGCCGTAGCCAGTTTGGCTCAGTGGATAGAGCCTCGGCCCATGGACTGAAGGGTCCTTGGTTCAGTTTCGGTCAAGGGCACGTACCTTGGTTGCAGGCTCAATCCCTGGCCCTGGTCAGGGTTCATGTGGGAGGCAACCAGTCGATGTGTCTCTCTCACATCGATGTTTCTCTCCCTCCCTTCCACTCTCTTTAAAAATCAATAGAAAAATAGCCTTGGGTGAGGATTAACAAAAAAGAAATAAATATCAATGGAAAGAAATATCCTCGGGTGAGAATTAACAACAGATAAAAGAAATCCCCTGTAACTAACCCTGTCTCTCAGACAGCATCCCTAGTCCCGCCCCCCTCCCCCTTTTTGTTTCTGGACCTCTTGTGTTTTACCTGCTTCTCATGCTGGATAGTGAACTTTGCAGCCTGCTGTGTTCACCCAGTAACAGGACACACAGCTTCGCTCTCTGTGGCTGTCCCTTTGTCCCCTCACAGTTACTGACGCGTGTTCGTCAACAGAGGCCGCAACCAGGGCTAGTGTTTTATAGACAATGCTGCGTCACGACCAATGAGGGGAGGGTGTTTCCAGATGCGGGATGTGGGGCCCAAGGGTGGGCCCACATGCAGGTCCCACTGGGTTCGCACCTCACATCCACACACAGTGCCTGTCCACTGGGCACTTTATTTTTTTAATATGTTTTTATTGATTTCAGAGAAGGAGAGAGAGAGAGAAACATCCATGATGAGAGAGAATCATTGATCAGCTGCCTCCTGCACGGCTCTTACTGGGGATCGGGCCCACAACCTGGGCATGTGTCCTTGACTGGAATCGAACCTGAGACCCTTCAGTCCAGTCTGCAGGCCGACGCTCTATCCGCTGAGCCAAACTGGCTAGGGCTCCACTAGGCACTTTAGACCAAGGGCTCCTGTTAGGGCAGAAATCAGATGTGAGGCCTGTTCCCACAGATCTGGGGGGGCTCTGATGGCTCCTGCAGATATGGGAGACTGCTGGTTCCCATAGGTATGGGGGCGCTCCTGGTTCCCACAGATAGGACAGGTCCTCGTGGCTATAACATGTATTGGGGGTACTCTTAGGGCTCTAATGGGTTTTAGGGGGCTGTTGGGATCTAACAGGTATTGAGAGGCCCTGTGGCTCTAATGGATATTGGGGGCTCTTCTGCCTCTGATATGTATTGGGAGACCCTCAAGGCTCTAATGGGTATTGGGGCACTCATGACTAACTGATATTGGTGTACTCTTGGGGCTTTAATGGGTATTGGAGTGTCTGTGACTCTAGCAGACAGAGCCATGCTGGTGGGGAGGGGCTTGCTGGGGGAAGTAGTGCTATTTGCAGAGCCCAGCACTGAGCCCCTGTGGCACGCCTGTCCCCCGCAGGATGGTGGATGTGGGAGGACAAAGGTCCGAGAGGAGGAAGTGGATTCACTGCTTTGAGAATGTGACATCCATCATGTTCCTCGTGGCCCTTAGTGAATACGACCAAGTCCTGGTGGAGTCGGACAACGAGGTGAGACGCCCTGCCCAGCGCTTGGACTGCCAAGGGGAGGGAGGCCCTGGGTAGCAGTGAGGGGCTCCCCTACTCACCAGCCCCTGGCCCTTCTGAGGGCTCTGGATGAGGGCAGCTCCCAGGGCCTCGTTGATCCCGGAGCCTTCCCTCTACAGAACCGCATGGAGGAGAGCAAAGCCCTGTTCCGGACCATCATCACCTACCCCTGGTTCCAGAACTCCTCAGTCATCCTCTTCCTCAATAAGAAGGACCTGCTGGAGGACAAGATCCTATACTCCCACCTGGTGGACTACTTCCCCGAGTTTGATGGTGAGTCCGGGGGATCCTTGCCTCTCTGTGCCTCATCCTCCCTGCATGGCCCGCGCAGAACCAGGAGATGTTCCAGAGCCCCCGAACCTGACCGGATCTATCGGGGAGGCGAGCTAGGTGTCTCCAGCACAACCCTTAACCTCTTTGGGCCTTGGTGCCTTCATCTGACACGAGGAAGGTGGTTCCCTCAGGCCTGAGCATGGTTCGTGAGGCCAGAGCTTCCCGTGGCCCTGCACTATATTCTCATTGCTTCCTACAGGACCCTCCCAAGCAGAAAGGCCTTGTCCCCAGGGAGAGCATCATCTGTGGGAGGAGGCACCTTGCAGTCAGTACACAGCAATAGGAGGGACACGCTGGAATGTTCAGCTCTGTCCGCCACTCAGTGGCCTGTCCCTGATTGCCCACGCAGAGTGAGAAGTTCATGTGGGCTCAGTGGCCCGGCCATAAGGAGGAGCGTGGTGCTGGGAATAAAGAGTGACCCGGGACAGCCGTCCCAACCCCTCCCTGGATCAGCTGAGCTCCTAATGGAGGGCAGACAACTCCTGTGTGAACCATCCCAGCTTTCGGCACCCCCACTCTGTTGTGTGTGAGCTGTAGCTGTCTGCCCCAGGGCGCTCAGCCACTCCCTCCCTCTAAGGCAGGTGGTGGTGCCCATGCTGGGTGCCCATGCTTGTTAGGAGAGCAGGGATCATGGATGGGACATCTCCCTAAGCGCTACTGCCTGTGAAACACAGTGTGCAGCCTTTGAGTTGGGGGTGACAGGCTTGGCCTGACCGGTCATGGGTGGGGCCTTGTGATCTGGGCCATTGGCTCCTGCCCTAAAAACCTGAGTGAGGCTTGGCGGGGATTAGGGTGCTAGGCTCTGAGCTCAGTCCTCTGGGCCTC